CAAAGACGTTTACCCGTTACCTCGAATAGACGACGCCCTTGACTGTTTGCAGGGAGCAGAATATTTCTCTTCGCTGGATTTACGGTCTGGATACTGGCAAGTTCCTATGGAAGCATCTGACCGACCGAAAACAGCATTTGTCACACCTGATGGGTTATACGAGTTTACCGTTATGCCTTTCGGCCTTTGTAACGCTCCAGCCACTTTTGAAAGAATGATGGACGCTATTTTACGAGGCCTCAAGTGGAACACATGTTTATGCTACCTCGATGACGTAGTTGTCTTTTCCACCGATTTCGACACCCATTTAAATCGTCTCGAGCACGTCCTCACACGTCTCACCGACGCCGGCCTTCAACTCAACCTCAAGAAGTGTCGTTTTGGTGCTCGGCAGCTCACCATTTTTGGCCACGTCGTATCGCGGGACGGCATACTTCCCGACCCCGCCAAGCTTCGAGCAGTCGCCGATTTTCCGAAGCCAAAGAACTTGAAGGAACTTAGAAGTTTTGTCGGCTTGTCGTCATACTTCCGACGCTTTATTAGAAATTTTGCTTCCATATGTGCGCCCCTTACGGACCTTCTTAGCCGCGACAAGGACCTTTCCACCTGGTCACCAGCATGCGACGATGCATTCACCAAATTACGCCACCTGCTGACTTCACCACCCATCCTCCGCCACTACGATCCTGCCGCTCCCACGGAGGTTCATACTGATGCCAGCGGTGTTGGACTTGGCGCTGTGCTCGCGCAATGAAAGGCAGGGTTTGATGAATATGTCGTCGCCTACGCAAGCCGTACTTTGACTAAACCCGAGGCTAACTACTCCGTGACCGAGAAAGAGTGTTTAGCTATTATTTGGGCCCTTGGAAAATTTCGCCCCTACCTGTATGGTCACGCATTCGACGTCGTCACTGACCACCACGCCCTTTGTTGGCTATCCACACTTAAAGACCCTTCCGGACGACTTGCTCGCTGGGCGCTCAAACTTCAGGAATACGACATCCGCGTTATTTACAGATCTGGTCGTAAGCACACGGACGCCGACGCCCTTTCTCGCTCACCCATATCGGATGAAGGTGTTTGCCTCTCTTCCCTCGAGCCTGCAGTTGCGTCATCCGCCTTGCGCAACATGACGGTGGAACAACGAAAGGATCCCTGGATCAGTGGCCTCATAAGCATTCTTTCTGATCCTCTCACTCCTTCGCCGTCTCGCGCTCTCCGCCGCCAGGCTAGCAACTTTTGCCTAAGGGATGATCTTCTTTATCGACGCAACTACCTTTCTGACGGTCGCAAGTGTCTCCTTGTGATACCCCGCCATCTTCGAGCTGCCATCTGCGAAGCTTTTCACGCGGACCCACAGTGCGCCCACGCAGGCCTCTTCAAGACATACGCTAGGCTTCGACTCAGATATTATTGGCGTGGCATGTATAACTACGTGCGAAAGTTCATTCGCTCGTGTGCTCAGTGCCAACGACAAAAGTTACCTCCCGGGCAAGTCTACCCGTCACAACCTCTTCCTTGTCCTAGTCGACCTTTTGATCGCGTTGGCATTGACATTTACGGACCACTACCATCAGCTCTAGCTGGTAATCGCTGGATTATTGTTGCGATAGACCATCTGACACGCTATGCCGAAACAGCCGCGCTGCCGACTGCCACAGCCCGTGACGTTGGAACGTTTCTGTTGCAACGTTTCATTCTGCGTCATGGTGCCCCTCGCGAGCTCTTAAGTGACAGAGGCCGTGCCTTCCTTTCTGACGCCTTGAAGGCATTACTCAACGAATGCCGAATCGTGCACCGCACAAGTACAGCGTACCACCCTCAAACAAATGGCATGACGGAGCGCTTCAACCGTGCTCTTGGCAGTATGCTGTCGATGTACGTCGCCTCTGATCATTCTAATTGGGACCAAGTTCTCCCGTTCGTCACCTACGCGTATAATACTGCCGTACAAGCTACTACTGGCTTTTCGCCATACTTTCTTTTGTACGGACGAGAACCTTCAAATACAGTAGACACTATTCTTCCATATAAACCTGATGAGTCCGAAAGTACAACTCTGTCCGAAGCTGCCCGACATGCTGAAGAATGCCGCCAGCTTGCCCGCTCTTTTTCTACCGAGGACCAGTGGCAGCAGCAATCCCGCCAGACTGGGGACCGTTCGGCTCCAAACTTTCCACCTGGTTCATCAGTATGGCTTCGGGCACCTGCTACCGCGCCTGGCCGCTCCGCAAAACTTCTTCCCAAATACATCGGGCCATACCGCGTTGTAGAGCAAACGTCACTCGTCAACTATATCGTGGAGCCCATCATCCCATCCACAGACCTACGCTACCGCGGCCGCGACACTGTCCACGTCTCTCGTCTCAAGCCATATTACGACCCATTAGTCGTTTCATCTCCCTAATCCGCCAGGATGGCGTCTTTTTGTGCGGAGGGCGATTGTAGTGAAGAAGAGGAGCTTCAGCGGCATTTCTCGGCGCATCAGGGGCATCGCCATCAGCATAAGCTCGTGCTTGCTGCGTTTGGCCGGACGCTGCTGACTGCTTCGCTTTCTGCGTTCTGCGCTGCAAATAAACCCCGTTACACTGAGAAAAGGTTTGGCAGTCAATCAAGTTTTTTTATTCTTATCGTTAATGTACAAAATGTGAAAAGGGGGTGAAAATTTTTTTTAATTTAAGAGCAGTTTTTTGGTTTCAACATTACTCGGAACTGTAAAATAATGTAAATTATATCAGAGTGTGCCATTTTATGAAACATGGGTCTATGCACAGTGCTTTATTAATTACCATCTGCAATCATAACATGCACCTTCATTCTGATCTTGGAGCAATGAGTTGTGCTGGCGAACATGCAGTATCTTCTCTGCGTGTGGCTGCCTCAGGACTCTGTAATTGGGGATAACGAGAGCGAGTACGTGCTTGTTCTAACTGCTAACGATCCACAAACACAGTTGGGATGTGTGCTCAGTTCCCACAGAGTAAAATGCATTAATTTAGGAATAGCTAGTGCACATCTTCATCATCTGCAGTTTATGTAACGCTACTGTGATTCAGGATCACACATGTGCACATTGTCTTTATTAAACCACATTTGAAGTGCCATGAGCCATAATAAAATACAAACAGAAAAGCAGTGATCCTGACCCTCTTTAAGGGTATATGCTTACTTATGACCAAAGTAGTAACATATGCAACAATCCTGCCACTTGTGACAGCTAAAGTAGGCTTTCTTATGCAATATAGCACAATGCACTGAATAGGGAGTATGGAGCCTGATGACGACTTAATTGTACTGATTGAGCATGCATGGTCACATAATCAATAGAAGTTATGATACCGGAACCACAAGACAACGATAAAGTGCTGTCTTACCAGATAACATCAGAGTCTAAACATGTATTGCACACATAAATATTTCAAGGAATTCACTAGAGCATGGGGATTTATCTTTGTCTACTGGTCACATTTTCATGAAGGCAAGATTATAGATCTCGGTGAGCTCAGATTGACATGCATGTCAAAGAATTTCTGGAGCCCTAAACTGCAGAATTTTTCACAATCATATTGTGGCATGTTATTGCTTATTTGGTATTCTTCTACAAACTGGAGAGCGAGTGGGGGGAGAGTGTTTTAAGGGGAGATGCGATTCTGAAAAAAAGTTGTGTTAATTTGCAGCATAGGATAATGAAAATTTTACTGTATATATAGGCTATTATACTGATTTTAAACATGTAGTTAGCTTTATAGTAAGTTGCACAGTTTTTGTTATGTGCCGTGACAATGTGCACAGTATAGTTCATTTTAGAGAAACTTTTTATGCCACTAGGCATTTATGGTTCTGAGCTGTTAATGGCTCATATTGCTTCATATTAACAGCAGAATGCAAATAACTATCAAAAAAGTGGGGTAAAACGTTTCGATGGTCAAGGAAAATTGTAATGTGAGAATTTTTAGAGTCCTCAGCCCATACTAATTGCTTGTTTTATGCTTGTAATAATTATACAGTCAATATCAAGCTATAAACAACATAGTTGCACCCTTCACATGTTAAGGAATATGTGGGCAAAATTTAATCCAATTTGGACCATCAGAAGCACCAAAAACGTGATGTGTAACCTCAAGATCTTGCCCAAAAATGGATCTTGAGAAAGATGCATTTTCTATGTGTACGTGAAAGCTGATCTGTGGGGAAATGATATGTGTTCGAAGATGATTTCTTCCATCATGAGAGCCCCGCCGTGGTGGTCTAGTGGCTAAGGTACTCGGCTACTTACCAGCAGGTCGCGGGTTCGAATCCCGGCTGCGGCGGCTGCATTTCCGATGGAGGCGGAAATGTTGTAGGCCCGTGTGCTCAGATTTGGGTGCACTTTAAAGAACCCCAGGTGGTCGAAATTTCCGGAGCCCTCCACTACGGCGTCTCTCATGATCAAATGGTGGTTTCGGGACGTTAAACCTCACATATCAATCAATCAATCATTGCATCATGACAGCTTGGAAATTATGGTTATTTTGAACATGTGGCTTTAGTGAAATACTCATGTAAAATGTAATGGCAAGCAGCCAGGTGACAATATCTAGAGAACTCCAGACAATGAGCTCTTTTTAGTTTTTATGTAGCCACCTTGTGCTCTTTAAAAGCGATTTTAACCTACTTCGAGAATAATTACAATGTTAATTTTTTTTTGTCGTGAAAGTAGAGCTAAACTTGTGAAAGCAAATAAAAATAAAAAATATGTTATTTTGAAAAAAAAAGTTTTTCAACTCGCATCTGAGCATTCTCATGCTGCCACAAGTGAATCAACTGGATGATTGTTTTGTAGTGATCTGTGACCAATGCTCAATCGGTGCACTCGAAGTAGTCACTTTGAAAGCTTGCGCCACATATCTAATTCATGACACCTTTTCAACGTTCTCAATTCTTTAAGTTCATATTAAGTCTAGACTCGACAAATGACCCCAACTTTTCCTGCTGACGTTTGTTGCTTTCATGCTTTGCAGAGATGGCCGAGCGACACGATGCCAAGGCCGTACTACAGATCGCTCGCGAGCTTGTGCTGCAAATCCAGACGTTGATTGACAACCGATAGAAGCATCTCGCCTTTCCCAGCTAACAGCATCATCACACTCCTCGACCCTTCCACTGGTGTGACGCTTGAACTGGTCATGTGCAACGAGTTCTGTAGGACTCTCAGCAGAATCATCTTTGAGAATGTTTTAAAAGTGTTTCGTATGGGAAGCTCATGCTGCTTGGCTAATTACAACATTGGGCATGCGAATTAAGAGAGCACATGGCACAGTGCAGTATTCTAACAGCTCTGGCCAAAATCAGAGATTTGTTCAATCTTGTAGACACCAGAGTAGTAAAAATATCCAGTTCAATGAACAAGCAGACATCATTCACATTCTCCTACAGTAGCCTTTCACACAGTCAGGGTTCATTCATCTTGTTCTTGTGAGCAAGAATGCTGTAGTGGTGACAAAACATTGCTGGATTTTGTTGCTGGTGTACCTCCTGCTTCTACCACATTACGTGGCACTGTGTAGACCTTTGCCTAACTGTTGCCAAAGCGCTTCTTGTCAGATGCCGTGAAGCTCGGGCATACTTTTGCAATGAGTGGATGAATGTTTTGCAATGAACGTGAATTATCTGCTGTAAGAGCAACTTTTGATATGAGTCATTAGCATTTGCATTCCGAAAACCTTAGTTCATGCCTGCCGACTGCCATGCCTTCGATGTACCACACACAGAGGGCTCCACTGTTGAAGGGAACACTGGAGCGCGTGTCGTCTTTTCGGTGCCACCGCCGGCCCGCTGTGGCAACTAGTTTCGCACAGGAGTGAGCGCTGTGGGCGGCGCTGATTTGTTGTCTGCTACATTTCCAGCCGCGCTTTAGCTTGTCGCGAAGCCAGCAGTCCTCGAGCTTTGAAATTCGTCCGCAGGCCGCATGGCCATGTTCACATGAAAAGCTGTGAAAAAGCTCAAAAGAAATTATAATATGTAAAATACAATCTCATTGATACTCTTGTTGGGTAAATAATCATGACTTCTTCTTGACAGATGTATTTTTCCAGCATAACTGTATTAAAAAATATTTTTCCTTGTGGAGTGTGTATTTGATGAGCACTAATGCGGATTTGAGCTTCTGCAGTGCGTAAGCTCAATAAAGCATTTACAAGCACCTTTAACTGATGCCACCAGAAAACTTTCTCGATGCAGACAATTCTCTATCTTATGAGAAGGCGAACGAAAGACGGTCATCCAGCTGGTGTGTCAGATGACATTTATCTGATTATAAATCATTCTCATCATTTTCATTCTAACTCAAAAGAAAGAGACTATATTTAAGATTTTGCAACTTAGACTGCCTTTCGCAATGAGCTGAAGAGCAGCCGCAACTGTAGCAGACGACAAACGAGCGCCACCCTCAGCGCTCACTGCTCCTTTGCGAAACTAGTTGCTGCAGCCAGCCGGCAGTGGCGCCAAGCAGACGACACGCGCTCCAGTGTTCCCTTTAATAGTGGACCCCTCTGTACCTCTACCCAGCCTGCAATAGTGACTAGCTTTTAATGTGCTCGGTTTAAACTTTAGTGCTATACTTAGTAAGCATGTTGAGTCATTCAGAGAATGGCCATGACTAAGGTAGAATTCTAATGCCAAAGTTGGAGTAATTTTTTCTTCTTATCTAGGAGCAAGTTTGTTCCAATGAAAGAGTGAAGGCAAGAGTCAACAATTCCAATGAGATGGAGTGCATTCAGAGTGGAGTCACTTCGTGGAGCAGCAAACGTTGCTCTGCCAACATCGGTGGAGGGAACAGGAACACAGTGTGATGTACTTCGTTTTAACAGGTTTGCCTGCTTGGCAGCACCAGTGGTAGGCACTTGTTTTTATGGTTATGATGTACAGCATGCACCAGTGGGTGAATTGGTGGATAGCAAAAACCTGGCTCCTGCAAAGGATAGTGGTCTATGATGCCCGTCTGCACCGAATTACGGTTCACGACACCATGCTTTCGTGCGGGAAGAAACGCACGGGCAAAAACAGACAAGGACAGGCACAAACTACCAACTGGCTTTATTTAAGGAAAATCCACACCTTTCTACATCAACACCCTGCACAGGGGCACTGCTACAAAACCAAAAAAATTCAAACCAGGCGAGAAATAAGTTTGAATTCAGCATTGTACAGCACAATGGAGGTTTCACTCACGCACTCGTCAACTGCTTTTTAATGAAAAAATAGTCACAGATTTGTCGCAAAGGTGAAGCAATGATTTATCGCAACGCAATTGTAAAAAATTAAAAGGTCGCGTGCAGAATGAAAAGCAGATCGAAATATCCCCCGCATTTCTCACGCACAAATGACGCTAGAAACTTACTCACAGGTACAGTTGCGCGCAAATAAGCGTCTCAGTTGTTGCTTCGCTGTGTCTGAAAAAGCACGCGCTTTTCGCATACGGAGACTTCAGTGACCTTTGTGCGCCCGGTAACAACAGAATCGTTCAGGTAAAGCCCGAGGCCAACCAAGTTGTATGATTCTCCCCACTGTAAGATAAGGGCAAGCGAGGGAGTGTCGCCCCCTCCTCTAAGCGGGGCCAAGTACACGTAAAGGATAAGAGTGTGCGGCGGTGCATGCTCATTTCGCCATCTTGCCAGTAAGGCTGAAAACACGATAATTTCCATCAGCAGCGGTAAGTGGTAGATATAAATAGCTTGCCATTTGAATGTTGAAGGACGTGCTCCTCGGTGGCTCAGTAGTTAACGCCTCACACTCACGACGCAGAGGGCCCAAGTTCGATTCCGCGCACCAGACTTTTTTTCTGGATTTTTTTTTCTTGCATCTTCATATATATAGATACATATATATATATACAGTGAGTGATGGCTATGCCAGAAGCAGAATCCAGCCGAGAGTGTCCATATAATTGCTTCTAGCGTTTCGCGAGCCGTTTTATCTCTAACATAACATAACTTTATTTTCCTTAAATACCCCCTCGAGGGGGTATTACATAAGGGGTGGGTTAACATATATTTTTTTTATTACCACAAGTTTCTATCTCGAAAAGTGGACACATAATCGATCAAAAAATGATGATGAGCATTCAGTGGTGACGACATCTTGGGCAAGGTCATTCCAGTCTTTTGCTGTCCGAACAAAGAAAGACATAGAAAAGGTGGTCGTCTTAATCCTTGGCCGGGCAACTTGAAGTGAATGACACGTGCGGTGAGATATGCGGGCGGGTGGGGTGATGTAGGGATGACGAAGCAGGCTGTGAAAAAACTTATGAAAAAGGCTGAGACCAGAGATGCGGTGGCGAATGTCAAGGCTTAAAATAGCCGATTCCTTTTTGAGCGATGTTACACTTGTATTGTATGAGTACGAAGAATGAATGAACCTGATGGCACGGTTTTGAACTGCCTCGAGTGAGTCGATCAGATAGGTTTGGAGTGGGCTCTAGACTGCGAATGTATATTCCAATTTGGATTGGATAAGGGACTTGTAGGCCTGTAGCTTGACATTTTTAGGTGCGTGCCGGAGGTGACGTTTCAGGTTCAGGAAACCCAAAGATTTGTTCGCTGATGATATAATGTTAGTAATATGCGCGCACCAGTTTAGATCATTACATATGGTGACACCGAGATACTTGTATGACTGCACGTCTTCGAGGGTAACGCTAGAAATTACATAAGGGAACAGAAAGGGGTTGTGGCGGCGGTAAAATGAAACAGTCTCGCATTTGTTGGGGTCAAGTTTCATGAGCCTCAGGTCACACCATTCTTGCACATGGTTTAGGTCATCTTGGACAGCGGCTTGATCGGTGGGGTTGGTAATTGGGTGATATATTACGCAGTCGTCGGCGAGCAAACGGGTACAAGAGGAGACACATGAAGCTAGGTCGTTTATGTAAATCAGGGAGAGAAGGGGTCTGAGAACGGAGCTTTGGAGGACACCTGACGCTACTGGAACGGGACTAGAGTGTACTTCATCGATGGAGACAAACTGTGAGCGGTTGGTTAGAAATACCTCAATCCAATTTACTGTGTCATGATGTATATTTAAAGATCTAAGTTTTATCAAGAGCTGCTTATGGGGCACGGTGTCGAACGCTTTCGAGAAATCTAAAAATATTGCATCCGTCTGCAGATTAGTGTCAAGATTGGCATGCAAATCCTGAACAAAGAGGGCTAATTGGGTTTCGCAAGAGTAACCTTTGCGAAAACCATGCTGTGCGGGGTGGAAGAAGTTAGTGCCGTCAAGAAAATGAATGATTTGGGAAAATATGACGTGTACCATGATTTTACAGGATACACTTGTTAAAGAAATGGGGCGATAGTTTAGAAGGCTGTTTGTTACCTGATTTGGAGACCGGAGTGACCTTCCCCATCCTCCAGTCGGTTGGTAAGTGGCCGGTGTGAAGTGACTGTGAGAATACCAGCAGCAGTATCACTGAAGAAATACATTTAGTGTTTTTAAGAATTTTGGAATTAATTCTCTCCACACCTGCTGAAGAAGACAGTTTGAATTTTTAATGACAGACATTATACCTTCTGGCATAAATGTTATACGCGACATAGAAGATGGTACACTAATCGGTAACACAGGGAATGGTATAGGGGTTTCATGGGTAAACACAAATGAAAAAGCAGTTGTGAATAGCTCAGTGCTCTCAAAATTACCAATATCGTAACCCACTTCACTTTTCAGTGTAATGCTGCCCGTTTCTTGCGGATTAATTATTTTCCAAAATTTTCTGGGGTTATTAGTAAGTATCTTGGGTAGGTCTGTGTGAAAAAACGAGTGCTTGGCGCTGCGTAAAGCGAGCAAATATGCTTTTTCAGCCGCATATTATTTTTCCCAATTGTGAGCACTGTGTTTTAGCCTGGCAGCCCGAAATAACTGACTTTTCTTATTTTCTACTCTCTTGAAGGTTTTTGAGAACCATGGTTTCTGGGAAGACGTGCGAAATGTAGTTGTAGGTATGAACTTTCTTGCTAACTCCCCTATTTTATTTTTGAAGATTGTCCAGTTGTCTTCGACCGTTCTGCTCGAAAGACAAGCTTCAAAGTCTGGTAAAAAGCCTTGAAGATCGTTGTTGATTGCCTCATAATTCCCTTTATCATACAGAATGATAGTCTTCGATTAAATCTGGCTGGGCAAGTGACTAAAATTGAAGACTGAGTGTATAACCATATTGTTGCTGATTTCGCGAAGGTATCTAAGCGAAGATAGTGTTTCAGGATGTGTTGTTAATATCGAGTCCAATATGTTCGCTGAACTATTTGTCATGCGGGTTGGCTCCAACACCAGCTGTGTGAGGTTCAAGTTCAGACAGATGTTGACGAATTCTTTTGCTTCCACGCTTGTTCCTGACAAAGCTGCCTAATTTTGCT